AGCAAGCAGGGCTGCACTGACCCGCACAAGCCCTCTGAGCAGGACCCTATCCTGGCGTGGGGTGGAGGGCGGCAGGAGGGGGACAGCATCCCTGAAATCACAGACTGCGCCAGCTGTGAGGCAGCACTTGCAGGTCCCCCGAGCTGTGTCCTCCTTAGCTCTCCCAGTGGCAGTTGACAGCTGAGTCTGGTCCCCGAGCACTGGAAGTGTTTCCTGGTCTGGTCAGGGACATCCACGTCCTCACTGGAGCTGCTCTGGCCTTCCTGCTGCACGCCTCTGCGCCACGCCTGGGCTTTCCCTGGGGAAGCAGCGAGGTGCTGGGAGCAGGGAGATGCTGCGTGGCCCCTTGGTGGGCTCCCAGCACACCAGGGAGAAGTTGAGGCAGATACTGAATAATGCAGAGGGGAGACAGCAAAGAAACCTTCAGCAGGGCCAGAGCAGCCTGGTTTGGGCTTTAATGCAGCTGTTTTAGAGAGCTTGGGAGATGCTGCCCGGGGGGAGTGGTGGTTTCCCTCCCACCTGTGCAGGGTAGCTAGCTGTCCCATACCACCGCACTGGAGGAGAACGTGCTCCGGGGCTGGGCCCCACGCTGGCTGAGGAGCGAGGGACATCTTGAATGTGCCCCCATGGTTTTTCCACCTTGTCCACACCACCCAGTATCTCCGTGCTCACGCCTTCCTTCTCCTCTGCCAGGTCTCCAGGCAGGGTCTCGCCACTACAGAGTCCTCACCCTGCCAGAGGGCAGGGCCCCCTGTCTCCAGCATGGCAAGGTGGCTGCCTCGCTCCGCTGACCTGACCCGCTTCTGCCAGAAACTCAACCGGGTGAAGACCTTGGAGGATGACATGATGGAGACATCCTTCAACAGATGCCTTTCCACCATCGACTTGACGCTGCTGGGCATCGGGGGCATGGTGGGCTCCGGGCTGTACGTCCTCACAGGCACCGTGGCCAAGGAGATCGCTGGCCCCGCTGTCATCGTGTCCTTCATCATCGCTGGCTTTGCCTCGCTCCTGGCTGCTCTCTGCTATGCTGAGTTTGGAGCCCGGGTACCCAAGACAGGCTCTGCCTACATGTTCACCTATGTGTCCGTGGGTGAGATCTGGGCCTTCCTCATCGGCTGGAATGTGCTGTTGGAGTACATGATCGGGGGAGCCGCAGTGGCCAGAGCCTGGAGCGGCTACCTGGACTCCATCTTCAATCACAAAATCAAGAACTTCACAGAGACCCACGTGGGCACCTGGCAGGTGCCTTTCCTGGCCCACTACCCCGACTTCCTGGCAGCTGCCATCCTGCTGATAGCCACTGCCTTCATCTCCTTTGGGGCCAAAGTGTCCTCCTGGCTCAACCATGTCTTTTCGGCCATCAGCATGGGTGTCATCCTCTTCATTCTCGTCATGGGCTTCATCCTCGCGCAGCCCAAGAACTGGAGTGCCCAGGAGGGCGGCTTTGCCCCAAAGGGGCTGTCGGGCATCATGGCTGGCACAGCCACCTGCTTCTATGCCTTTGTGGGCTTCGACGTCATCGCGGCCTCCAGCGAAGAGGCCAGAAACCCACAGAGAGCTGTCCCCAGGGCCATTGCTTTCTCCTTGGGGCTGGCCACTGGGGCCTACATCCTGGTGTCAGTGGTGCTGACACTGATGGTGCCCTGGCATACGCTGGACCCCGACTCTGCCCTGGCAGATGCATTTTACAGGAGGGGCTACGCATGGGCAGGGTTCCTGGTGGCTGCTGGCTCCATCTGCGGTAAGTACCAGCAGCGGCAGTGGGAACTGCCCGCCTGGCTCACGATGGGGGCTGGGAACCAGGGTGGTTTGGGTCTGACGTGGTCCTCCTCTTCTGCCTGTCCCTCAGCAATGAACACAGTCCTGTTGAGCAATCTCTTCTCCCTGCCACGCATCGTCTATGCCATGGCTGAGGATGGGCTCTTCTTTCGGATCTTCTCCCGAGTGCATCCCCGCACACAGGTGCCTGTCATCGGCATCGTGGTCTTCGGGCTGCTCATGGCCCTGCTGGCCCTCGTCTTCGACCTGGAGGCCCTGGTGCAGTTCCTGTCCATCGGCACGCTGCTGGCCTACACCTTTGTGGCTGCTAGCATCATCGTCCTGCGCTTCCAGCAGCAGAAGGTGTCTGTCTCTGCACCAGCGGCTGGTGGCCAGCCCAGCCCTGAGCCCCAGGAGGGTCCGTCCGCTGGTGAGCTGAAGGAGTATGAGTCCTTCTCTGACAAGCTCCAGCTGGTGGACAGGGACAAGAGCAAAGAGCACCGGGAGCCAGGACAGCTGAAGGCAGCTTTTGAGCCCTACCTGGAGTTTCTCAGCGACTTCTACCCAGGCGAGGTCATCACGGTGGCCGTGGTGACGCTGATGGTGTCTGCCATCTGTCTCTGCTCCGTCTTGGTGTTTGGCAACACCCACCTCCACCTGCCCACCTGGAGCTACTCCCTGCTGCTGGTCCTCTTCAGCCTGGGATTCCTGCTCAGCCTCCTCCTCATCTGGGCACACGAGCAGCAGCGTGGCATGCAGACCTTCCAGGTACGCCTGGGGCCCAGGCAGGATTAGCTCCTCTGCCAGGGTCGATGGGGTGAGAGCAGCTCTGATGGATGCATGGCAGGTATCAGTCACACCGGTATGGTGCAAGCACTGCAAGTGCTGAAGGAGGAGGAGGGTGTCAGCAAGCACTGTTTGTGGGGAGGTGTTGGTGCCTGTGGTGTCATTCTGCATGGTCACAGGTCCCCAGGAAGGGACATCCCCAGCAGCTCTGTGTCCATCTCACAGGATTGCTCCTGTCCAACCTGGGATCCCTTCTTTGCATTCCCATATCCTTCCACTCTTCTCCTGCCTGTCCCAACTCCTGCTGTTGGTCTGCCCTTGAGCTATGCAGTGAAGCTCTTTCCTTCAGCCTCCAAACCACTTCTGTGCCTTTTGTGCTCCCCCCACCTCCAGTTCCTAGCCCACCTAGGCCCTGGTGCATTGCAGCCTTGGGGGTGGTAACACCACCTCCCTGCCGTGCCCCTGCCCCAGCGTCTCCAGTGACAACGACCACGTTGGCTCTGGATTGCGCTGGGTCCTTGTAACAGTGCCTCTGGGCTGTTCTAGAGCCTGTGCCCACCCTGCCAGCCTGGGTCACAGCACCTGCCTCCCTAACTGTCCGTTGTTCCTTTTGGCTACCTTTTTCTCAGCAAAAGTCATTTTCAGAAAGCCCAGGGTTACAGTCCCTTTGTCCGCCATGTTCACCAGTGCTGGCTTTTATCTCTATGGTTTTAAGGATAGGGAACATGGTCTTGCATGTTTCACACACCCACCCTCCCCCTGCCTGCTTCTCTCCCACAGATCCCCCTGGTACCTCTCTCCCCAGCTCTGAGCATCGTTCTCAACATCTACCTGATGCTGAAGCTCAGCTACATGACGTGGCTGCGCTTTGCCATCTGGCTGCTCTTAGGTGAGTGATGACCTCGGAGGGGGGTGGCTGCTTCAGGGGAGAGGGGCACTAGGCTTGTCCCAACACCAGCCGGCTGCTTCAGCAGCTCTTCTCCCACCGTGATGGGTTTATAAAGCACATCATGCCCTCTTCTGCCCGTTTCCCTCTTGGAGATGCAAGCTGAGGTGTCCCAGCATCCTCCTGACCCTCTCTGGTTCCTGGAGCATTACAGCTGGTTCCTGTTAAGGTTTGGATCCTCTTTCAAGCTGTGGACCAGAAACACTCCCAGCTCCCCAGGCAGCTCCCTGAGGAAGTCCTTCCCAGCAAGGGACTGCCGCACCCCAGGGACTGGGGCTGACCCTCTTGCTCTTCACTGCCGGGATGCTGGCTGCATCCCTGCCAGCTGCCGGCCTGTGCCTGAGCCACTGCTCCCTCTGTCCCCACTGCAGGCCTGCTTGTGTACTTCGGTTATGGCATCTGGCACAGCAAGGAGAACCTGCGGGAGCCCCGGCCGCAGCGCACCACTGCCCGGTACGTGGTGTTCCCCAGTGGC